AGTTTTTTTTTTTTTTTTTTTTTTTTTTTTTTTTTTTTTTGATAATAAACTTTTTTTAGAGATTCTTATCGTCAAATATGCAAATATAAATATTTTAATATAGAGAAAATATCTCTTTTATTTTATAAAAAAAGATAATTTATAAACATACATAAAATAAAAAATACAGAAGAAAATAAAAAAATATTTGTATATCTAAATTTAGAAAAATAAAATAAATAAAGATTCTAAAAAAAAATCGTAGAAATAATTAACATTTCTAATAAAAAAACAAAAGTATGTGATATATATTTTAACATCAAAAACACTATTCATAATATGTAAAGTAATTTAAAAACATTACCTAAAAAAAAAAAAAAAAATATATTCAAAAGAAAATATCTCAATTACAGATTTAAATACTTAAAAATTAATGTCACTATCTAATTTAAGCAATAAATTCTAATAACAAATGTTATAAACTTTATATATATTAAATTTTTTATTCATTCTTTATTGTTTTATGAAATTTACATGAAAAATTACCGAAGAACAAAAATTGTAAATTTTTTTTCTTTTTTTTTTTGAACTCCATTATAAATTATCAATAAAATAAGACAACATTTTTAGATATATACGTTTATATTATTAAATAAAATATGTGACATTAATAACGCAAAGTATATATACAAAGTAATGAGTCTGCCGTTCAGATAAAAGTAATATAATAAAGATAATAATTGTTATAAAAAAATTTATATTTTTTTTTAAGGACATTTTTTTATTTTGTTACTATTTTTCTTTTGAAATATTTTTAATTTTTAATCTTTTCTTATTTTTTTTAATTTTTTTTTTTTTTTAATATAACTAATGATTATTAATTTGATAACTTTTATATTAACAATCTTTTTTTTTTTTAACAATTATTTTGTCAAAAGGCAAGAATAAATATTTTGAGGTAAAATATTTTTATTAAAGATATCATGTTTTTATACGGTTTAAAGTTTTATTTTACATGTTAACGGTATGTTCTAAAATTTACATGATTATGAGCTGTAATCTCTAATTAGACCTAACGTATAAATTCATTTTAAAGGTATAGAGAAAATAATTTAAGGGTAAACAACAGATTTTTTTTATTTTTTTGTAATACTTTTTAATAATTGGGAACAAATATTTTATTTTTTTATTATTAAAAAAAAGTTAAATCTTTAGATATATGTTATTTATTTTAAATACATGATCCTTATGCATATGATATATATATATTTTTTAATTTAAAAAATATAAGTTTGTTCATTTCAACTATTTGCAACTATAAAAATATATTTAAGTTCCATAATTGAGTTTAGTACCAATAAAAAATATTATCTACATCTGTGAACTTTCCCTAATATAAGATAGATTGTAACTAAAAGTTTAGATATCCATATAAGGTATTTAAGAAGGTGCATACATTGACATAAGTATCCTAAAGAAGTATATTCTCCAAAAAAAAAAGGTTTTTAATTTTTTTTTTTTTTTGAAAGTGTTACATTGTTTTCATTGCTGTTTTTACATATATACGATGATTAATGACAATAATTTTCAAATAAATTGTAACTTGACATAAACCCTATAAACATAATTATAAATTTTAAAGACAATGTAAATGATAGATATTTATTTAACTTAGTACTTATTTAAGGATTTTAAATTCAATATAAAATAAATTCTTTATTTTATATTACATGTAATAGTTATAGAGGAATTATATATTATCTATAATAAATATTTCACAATCAATAAAATAAGGATAAAAAACATTACTTCATGTTCTTTATTAAGTGTTTATTATACTATAAAAGGTATTTTAAAGATGAGTTATTAAATAAGTTTATTAAAAATAAAATATAAGATTATTCTGAAAAAATATCTTTTTTGTATATAATGAAATGAGATACATTTTAAAATTTGAAAATCTTTCATTAATAATTCTTATTTTTTAATTGAAGAGCTATTTAAATATTTTTTATTTTTTTAAATAATTTAGTTTTTACTTATTTATTTACTGTTTTTTTTTTTTTTTTTTTTTTAATTGAAATAAAAAAAAATATGAACCATATCAACTATTATGACGTTAAATTATATTGTAACACTAGAAAAAATAGTATTTTCTAATAGAATTATTACGAATGTTCTAAGCATGTAAATTTAAGAAAAAAGTTGAAAAGTATATTTACATTATTTAAATTATGTTCAATTTTTCTAAACTTAAAATTCTAATTTTATAAATAATTATAATTAAAAAATAGTGATATATATATCTTTATTATAAAAATATTAACTATTGTTATTATTATTTAATTACTTCGTTTTGTAGTATAAAATAATGGACTTTGACTTTCATAAGTTAATTAAAGAATGTATAAATTAAATTTATAATTTAATTCCTAAATATATATATGCAATTTCAGATTTATATTCTATATGCAAATGATATTATATTCTTGCGTTGTTAGATAGTAATATAAAAACATGAGTATCAAAAACCCCTATCAATCACAAAAAAAAAGGCAAAAATAAGAATAATGTTTTTTTGAAACTTTTCATTAAATTATAAATAAAAATTAATTAAAATATCCAATATTCTTTTATAAAAATATTTATTTATTTAAATGATAAATATTCGCGTATTATAATCATTAAAGGTAAAAAAAAAATAATAATAATATTAAGAATTTTTTATTTTTTCAACATTTTCCTTTATTTAACTACATATGGATAGAATAAAATAGAAATTTTTAAAACCATTTTATATATTTCATTTTTTTTTTCAAAACTATATACCAGTATATTTTTAATAAAAAAATGGAAAATAAAAAGTTAAATGTATTTCCAATTTTTAAGAATAAGGAACATCAGAAAATATGGTGGACGAAAAAGAACGTTCATAAAATATTTGCTTAAATGTCAAATAAAAAATTTTAGTTAAATTATTTATAATTTATTATTTTGTATAATTATTACTTTTTTTTAATTAAAATATATATTATTGGAAGATTTATACACTAAATTTTAAATGAAAAATTAATACATTTCTTAATAACTATAATAATTTATATATGTCACAACAAATATCTTTTTTATTATTAAAAAAAACAAACAAACATTTATTATTCATTGTAAAAGAAAAATAAATGAAAAACAATATTTTTTAATATAATTCCATTATAAAAAGAAATAAATGCATTATAATTAATAATAAAAAAATTAAAATTAAAGGAGTATTTAGAAGATACTATTTTTTTTTTTCATCTTATAAAATTGAAAAAATTAACAAATATATATATTATTTTTGTTTTATTGCCATTATGCATATTTTTTTTATTTTTTTTTTTTTTTATTCATAAATTGAATTAGCTAATCTAATAATAAAATTATTTACATACTCAATACCAGTAAATTTGCTTTGTATATTACAATTACTATTTTTATATTCTTTAATTTTTTCAATTATAAGACGTTTAGTTTCATTACTAATAATGATATTTCCAGCGCTATCAATAGCATTTCCATCTTCTGAATACACTCTTTCTAATTGACTTTTTACAATACTTAATATATCTTTAAGTTTATCTGTATTTGAGATAACGCAACTTTGCATTTGATTCATGTTAAAAAGTAACTCTTTATAAGAAAGAAGATGACCCCTTGTTGAAACTAAAATTTGGAACATATTTGCTAATGTCTTTATATTATTTTTTATTATAATTTTTTCTTTAATTTCTCCTTTAGTGCGTTTTTGCCTCTTTACACTGCTAATGTATATTCTTGCTTTAGTAAGATATTCCTTTAATAATCCTAATGCATAAAGTAAGTGGTAATTATAATTTAATTGATCTAATAATTCAAATGATATAGATTTTCCATGTACGTTCATATTTAATGAACTAAGTTCCTCTAAAGCTTCCATTATATTATTAACTGGTAAATAATCTTTTAAAATATCTTTTATGTATTTTTGTTCTGTGTCAATATCAATACTTAAAATACCTTTATTTACTCTGAGTATTTTGTTCTTGTCTTGTTCTTTTAATAGCCACTCATTAGATCTCCATAAATTATAAAATATATTTAATCTATATTGACGCCACATAGTAAATACCATTTCAGGAGTTTTTATTACTTTATTTTCTAAAAAAAAAATTATTTTCTCTCTTATTTTACTTTTTAATTCTATCTGAACTTCACTTATAATTTCAATAGATTTCTTAACATATTTTATTTTTTCTTCATAATCATGTTTAACAATATTATCTCTTTCATCATTTCCATATATTTCTTCTGTTGTTAAAGTATATATAACAAATTTTATAATGCTTTGAATATTTAATTCATTAAGGACTGAATTTTTATGATAGCGTAATGCTTTTTGTATGAACATTTGAGAAGGGACACTTTCCGTAATAAAATCTTTATTTTTAGTTAGATCTCTTAACTGCCCTTTAATTTTTAGATTATTCGTATAATATTCTTCTAAATTTTGTACAATCGTGTGAAAATTAGTAAGGAAACCTTGTAAGTTTTCATAAAGTAAAAAGAGAGCATTTTTAATAAGAAAATCATTACTTACGTAAAATTTATATATAAAATTTTTAAATACAACTAACAAAGACTGATTTAGATGAATTACTACATTTACGTAGTTATGCTGGTGATTATAATCATTTTTTCGTATATTCTGAATCCTTTTCAATTCTCTTTCTAAAACATTTTCTATCTCCACATTTTTTTTGTCTTCATTTTGATTTGAATTTGAATTATCTTGAATAGATGGTAAACTTAAACTGCTAGTAGGTGTATCAATTATTTCAAAATCGCTTTCATCCTAAAAAAAAAAAATACATTATAAAAGAAATATATTTATGTCTAATTAAAATGAGCTGCATTAAAAGAAATTAAAAATAATCAAATTGTTATCTAAAAATTGAGACACTTGTTTTCCTCTACAAAACAATATAAATTAAACTATGGTATTAATGTAAATGTAAAAATATTACTGTCTCATATGCCTCATTTAATTCTCTTGATATTATAAATTCATTTTTTCTAGTCTTATCTGTAAGAAGAAAAATACTTATTAATATAACATAAATATAAAAAGGTTATTTGGATAATTATTACTTCTTGGTAACTGTTTTCTTGAACCAATATTAATGATTAAAAGCGCAATTACCAGCAATATCCGCGAAGTTTGATTGAAAGATTTTATTTTTATCATTTTTTACTATAAAAAATAAGTTAGAAAAAATATAAGAATGAAAATAATAAAATTCTTTTACTTTATTTTTTTTCTTTTTTTTTACACATATATATGAAAAGTAAAGTATATATTTCTCGAAAAAAATAATATTTCACTTAGAATAATTTGGAAGATCTTAGTAAACTTTAACGAAGGAATTAAAATAAAATTTTCTTATATATTGAAAATCTTAAGAAATAAAACTCCTTAAATTCTAAAATATCCTTTTGCACAATTTATCTTATAATGAAGAACTTTTAAAACCAATATTTTTTTTAAAATTAAATAACTTTAGAAAAATTCTAAATTTCATTATAACTTTAACAGTATTTTCATATTAATTTTACTATGTTTTTCTTTAAACATTAAAAAATTAAAAACAAATCAAAATTAAATAAATAAAGGAAAAATATAACTATTATATTAGTACAAATATTTAAGTTTCTTATTTCCTCAATTTCAATTTAAATCTTAGTTTTTCCAGGTGCAGCATATTCACACCTTTGATAAAAGGTCAATATTTTTATCTCTTAATGCTTTAAATATTTTTTTAACAACTTTTCTTTTAAAAAATAAAATAATATTTTTTACAGGGAAGTATATATTTCTCATTATAACGAATTAAATCATTATTTTAGAAGAATAAGATTAATTTAATTTAATTTCCATAATATTTTTTGACAAGACATGCACTTAATTAGGAAAATATATTAATAATTAATGTTCCCTACTAAAATTTATTTAAAAATAAATTTCAGTATATATTTATCTTTTATTAAATCAAAAAATAAGACAAAAATGTAGTTATTCTAATTTTCATTATAACTTATTTCATAAATAATAATTATAACAAAACTATGAGGAAATGAAAATTATTAATAATTTTTAGAATTTCTCAATTGCATTTAAATATACATGATTATTCATAAAAAAGTTACTTATAAAATGAGGAGAAAAATGAAAAAATATTTTTTTCATTTAAGCATTATTAATAATCATACAATAAAGGAGCTCTTGTAATTAAATAAAACCACTAAATGCTTATAAAAAAAAATTTAATCTTATTTCATGTTTAATATTTCATTTATTACTACTATACACACAGAAAACAATTTCCTGCACCTGATATAATATATATCCATTAAGAATCAAATAAAAATAAATGTATTTAATGATTTAATTTTCAAAAAATTCAACGTTTATATTAAAATAAAATTTATTAGATTGACTAAAGTACACTAATATGCATTAAAAATTATTCTTTTAACTACACAATTTTTTTAGCAACTTCACTGGATTAGATAATTGCAAAGAAATTAATTAAATGTGTAATGAATATTTTTAAAGCTTCAATAATATATGTGAATCACATAAAAAAGATTAAATTAAATTAAACGAAATAGCATTCCTTATTTTATGAAATATTAAAAAATCTATAATTTGAATTTCATTATGTATTTTTTACTCTTAAAATTAATGTTTCAGCATTATTAATAATGTTATAAATATCATATAATTTTAAGAGAGAAAATGAAAAACTAGGAAGAATTAAATGTATTACTTAAAATGATTTTACATCAATATAATTTATATATTTAAATACATAAATGTTTAGAATATTAGATAATAATTAGTATAGTTAACCTTTTTAAATACCAAAAATTGTAAAATAAACTTAAAGATAAATTATGCACAATGGATATTCAAGAGAATTCCTTAACAACTATCTAAAATAATTATAACTTTATATGTATATATATATTTTTTTTTTTTTTCAATTTTTAATAAAATTCTGAATTATTTTTTTTTACGGGAACTTTTTATTCATAGAGAATAAAGATTATTTTATATATTATCAATGGTTTTTTATAATAAATATTTAAATTTTAAAAAAAATGAGAAATTTTTATTTAAGTATTCTTTATTATAACATTAAAAATAATAAAAATAAAGAATTAACATTTTTAAAATATTGTATTCTCTATATGAAATGTACTTTATATTTCATGCAATTGCTAAAATATAAAAAATAAAATTTAAATTGTAATCAAAATGTTCTATTTTTAAAATAAATTGCTTTAATTACAAAAAAATAAAATATACAAAATTATTTTTTATATATTTATAATATATAAAAAAAAAAAAAAATTAAAACATATCACCAAAAATTTTAGTGAATTCCATTTAAAATAAAAAAAAAAAAAATACAAAAATAGCATATTAATTAAATATCACATAACATATTAAAAAGTCATATAACACATATTTGCATCTGCCGGGAATCGAACCCGGGTCACTTCGATGGCAACGAAGTATTCTACCACTAGACCACAGATGCTCAAATAATACATCTTACAAAATCTTTAAATATATTATTATATAAGAAAAATATCCCTAAAAATATATAATTATAGAAGTTCATATGAATTATATATAATTCAAAAAATGAATATACAAAATAAAAACTGAAATAAAAAAAAATCCTCTAAATATGCTTACAAACATATCCTCTTTCTGTTATATTCATTGTAACTTAAAACACTTAAAAAATTGAAATTATAAATCTTTAAAAAAAATTTTTGAATATTCACCATTTTAATTATATCATCATATTTACTCTAAATGAAAGTAAAATTTTCCAAAAATTTAATTTTTATTTTGTACTAAATTCCCTTATTTTAAAAAAAAAAAATTTATTTTAAATGTTTTTATAATAATATATTTTAATTTGTTTAAAATTTATTTAAAAAAATTTACACTTTTACTATAATGAAGTTTTTTAATTACGTCTAAAGTTATTTAAAACAAAAATGCTTTTTACTGATTTTTATTTGAAGTATGAATTTTAAAATTACAATATTACATTTAACAAATTTATCTTTTCTCTATAAAAGTAAAAAAATAATTTTCATTATAGCGATATATAAAAAAATTATTAAAATAAAAATAATTTAAAATGTTAATTTATTGTAATTATGTTAGAAATTTTATAATTAATATATAAATTATATTAAAACTTTTTAATTAATGAAATTTTTTTAATTTGTTTTCTATTAGCATAAATTTAAAGGAATATATTAATTACGTTAAACATTTGTTACTTGTTCTTTAATTAACCTTTTATAGTAACCTAATATAATATTAACGTAAATTTATCTAATAAAATTAGCAAATGTTTATAAGATTAATGAAACATGAAAAAAATAATTTTATTTGAAATTATGCTATTTTTCTTATTATTTTTAATTCTTAACTAAAATAAAATTTAAAGTAAAAAAATACTTAAAATGTATTTGAAAAAGAATTTTCATAAATTTTTTCCTTAAAATTTTTTTCTTTTTAAGGATAAAATAATTAAAATATTAAGTATTTTTAAAAGTAAAAGTTAAATGTAATTTTTTAATCAATGAATTTTAATTTATGTTTTCAATTCTAATCAAATTAAAAATTTTAACTTTAAAAAAAATAAAATAATAGAAATTAATTTTATTTAAAATTACCACTAAAAAAATTTTAGTGAGATACAATTATGACAAACTCATATTAAAAATATTTTTTAAAGCATATATTTTTTAAGTACCTGCACAGATACGAAATACAATATTTGATCTTTTACTGCAAAAAATATTTTATTTTAAAGTTAAAAATAGAAATTTTCAATTTAATAACATTTGTAAAAAAAATATATATTTATTTTTAAGATTATTAAATAAAATTACGTATGCTTTTTTTTATAAATATATATATCACATATAAAATAAAATAAAAAAAATATCATAAAAAGAATACGGTTTTTTTACTTTAAAGAGTTTAATAATATAAAGGAGGATTTATTGTTATAATTATTACATTAAATAAATTTGTATTATATTTAATCTTAAATTATCAAAATTGTAATAAAATCTTAAAATTTTATCACAAAGGAAATTATAATATGGTTAAATAATAAATAAATTTTTTAATTTATTTATTGTTATGTTTTTACTCTTGAAAAGATAACCTAAATGGGCGTGTAGCTCAGCGGTAGAGCAGCTGACTGCAGATCAGCGGGTCCATGGTTCAAATCCGTGCGCGCCCTTTTTATAATTCAATATAAATTAATGTTTTTTTCAAGACGATAATAAGTTGAAATCTTTATTACATAAAAACACTATAGTTACATATTTAATTTATAATTCTATTATATATAAAAAAAATTAAAATTTTAAATATATATTTTTTATTAAGGAATCACCCTTAAGGAAAAATTGTGTATATATAGTAATATAAATTTTATCTATTTTGCAGTTATATATAAACATATGAATAAGAAAATCATATTATTGCATTAATTTCCTAAATATTTTAACATTAATATTGCTTAAAATAAAATATTTATGTAATTAAAATATTAAAAATAAATTTGTTAAATGTATTTCACTTTAAATAAAAATCGTATAAATTCTTCATGCGATATTATTTTTGTTAAGATTGTTTCACAATATAAAAATTTAATTTTTATGTTATATAATTATTTCACTTATTTAAATATTTAATTACATTCAAAATACATTCTAAAATCAGTTAAAACATTCCATTTCTTCGTTAATAATAAAAATTAATTGTTTCTTAATACACCAGATGGGACTCGAACCCATAACCTTTGCCTTAGGAAGGCATTGCGCTATCCAATTACGCCACTGGTGCTAACTTGCCTTAGTAATACTTCGTAAAATTATTTATTTTTGTATATTACATTATTCATATTATCATTTATTTTACATATGTAAAATATCAATTGAATTTTTTGTTTTTATTAAAGAAAAAAAAAAAAAAAAAAATCCATCAAGTAATGAATAGTATAAAAAAAAAAAAAGAATATTAATTATAAATTAAATATAAAAAAAACTTATCTAATTTTAAGGTTTAAAGTTATATAATTTCAAAGCGATTTTTCATAAAACTTATTTTATTAATAACTCCGTTTTTTAATTAATTCTATTATTAATTTTAAAATAAAATTTTTTTTGGATTATTTATACTTGTAAAATTATTAAATTACGTACAACTATAAAATTTTAAAAAATATAGAAATAAAAATTGATCAAAAATATAAAATTTTATTTAGAAAATTTCTATTTTTTTTTTTTTTTTTTTGAATTTATTTATCACATAAGAACAATTTCTTAAACATAAAAAATCAAAAAAATATTTCAATTTTAACATTGTTGATTAAAATATTTAAAAAAAATTTATATATTATAAGAATTTAAAAATATGAATTATACAAAAAAGACCAAAAAAAAAAAAAAAGATTATCTCTTATATGGTGAAAAACACTTTATATAAGAATACAATATTTTAGACTTTTTAAATTATAAATAATTTTACAATAAATGTAAACGGGCCTATGGCGCAACGGTAGCGCGTCTGACTCCAGATCAGAAGGCTGGGGGTTCGAATCCCTCTGGGCTCAAATTGTTTAATTAATATTATCTAATTATATATTAATATGAATTTTATTGAATCTATGGTAAATCATAAAATTATAAATAAACATTTTCCTATTTTATTTTTCATACATTTTATATATATTGATATAAAACAAATGTCCATGCATAACATTAAAATAACATTAAATTTTCATTTCTCAATGAAAATTTATAGAGGCATTTTGAGAATTTTTTTTTTATATTTTAATATTAATTAAATATATCCCATTTTTTTCATTTTATAAATATTTTTACGAATAAAAAAAACATGAAATCTTTATTGTTTTAAGCAATAAAAAACTCTAGAAAAAAAAGAATTTTTTTGCAATTTTATGATATATTCAAAGGTGATTATTTTATTCTTATTTTTGCATCTTTAGAGAATATATAATTTCATCATCATTTATCTTAATCTTATAATAATTGTATTTTCTAGTAAAAAATATTTTTAAAAAAATTCCATTTAAAATTAATAAAAAAAAAATATAATTTAAACATGGAAAATAAATTAAATATTCATATGAAATATAAGATAATGCAGGAATTTTCATGTTAGCAGTTTGCATCCTAAGGTACATTTTGTATTTTCTTAAATTCCTTCATGTTTATTATAAAATACAATAATTAATCGAAATTATAATTTTATATAAATACAATTATACTTTAATCTAATGTATTAAAATAATATAGGCCGGGCAGGAGTCGAACCCACGACCTCCCGATCCGTAGTCGGGCATTCTATCCAGCTGAACTACCGGCCCTTATTCAAGAAAAATAAAACTTCTTTATTATCAAGTAAAAAAAAAAACTTTAAACTATTCCCTTAAAAATACATTGAAATTTCTTACAAAAAGATTGTGTAATTATAAATTTTAAAATTTAATCATATAATCAAAATTATAGTATTACCCTTTTTTTATTTTTTTTCCCTCATTACTTGTTTTTTGATCATCAAACGTATAAGCCTAAATGTATGAAAAATAAATATTTATTGAATGGCACTTGTATTTTATAAATAAAATTTATGAAAAAATCACATATAAAATTTATAGAAAATATTATTAAGTTAATAAGTTTAAAAACAATAAATTTAATTATATAAAATTTTTTTTACTTTAATATTATACAATTATCTATTTGCAATTAAAAATATTTTAAATAACTTTATAAAAATTCTTTAAATGTATCTATTAAATTTTTAAGTTTATTATTGAATACATTTTATTCTTTTTTAATTATTAAATATTTTTTCCTTTTATAAAAAAAACTTTATGAAAAAAATTCTACACTTTTTAATTTTTTTTTTTTTTTATATAAATATGAAATTGCAAGAAAAAGGTGTGTATATTTGCATTTGTATGTATTAAATCATGATAGTTTTATTTTATTTAATAAATATAAATGTTTATTTTCATATGTTCTTTGAATATATATAGAATTAGTAATAGTAGACATTATTTACTAGAATAAATAGAGAAGACAATTATTATTTTAATTATTATATAATTAAAAACATAATATTTACATTTACGATTAGCATAAAAATTTACTTGTAATTTTTCTTTTAAGCTATTTAATGAAAATGAAAATGAAAATGTTTAATTTTTTATAATATTATTACATTATTCACCTTTCATTAAAAATTTTTTTAATTTTATATATAATGAACTTATCAAAATTATGTTTTAATAATTTTTGTACTGCATATATTAACATATAAATGTGAGAATTCGCTATAATATCAAATTATGCATTAATATAACCTATAAAAAATATAATTAAAAATAAAAATATAGAACTTGTATAGTATTTCTATAAAAATATAATCCACCTAAAAGAAAAAATTTTGCTTAAAATAATACATAAAATTTTACTTTTTAATTATACTCATACAATTATCTAGCTGTCTTTTACCATGAATATATTCATTCTTGTTAAAAATTATGAAAAAAAAATTTAAAAGTTCTGCTCTTTCTTATTATATTATTATTTTTTCATTGTATTCTTTAAAACAAATATAAAAATATTTTTTTTTTTTTTTGTATTTAAAAGATATACATTTATAGCTATTTATATCTATTTTAATTCTATTATTTTCAATCTTCCTTTACTATATTTAATAAAAATAATTTTTCCATTTTTTTATAATTTTAAAGGAATATGTAATTTTTTTTTACCTGTTATAGTTATCCAATGTTAATAAGTATATAATATTATAAAAATATATAAAATTTTAAAATAAAAAGAAAAAGAATATTAAATGATGAGCCTTATGATATAGTATTATTACAAACTAAAAAAAATACAAATAAATAAATTTTATTATGTTCTATCTAATTTCTTTTAGAAGATGATTTTTATAAAAAACTGACATAAACAAAAAAGTTAGAATGTCATTAAAATGTTATAATTAAACAGTTGTCAAGTTAGTAAAAATATACCTATTAAAGAGTATAATTCATTCTAGTTCATATAAATAATTAACTATTTTATTTTATCATACATTTTTTTTTTTCTTTTCATAGAATTATGATTTACAATAGTTGATAAAAAGTTAATCATAACATAAAGAAATTTTTTTATAAAAAAAAAGAAAAAATTGTAATAACTCATTTGTTCAAACTATAAATATGTTCTAAAAAATATGTAAACATTTAAATAGCTTTTTGTTTGGAAATATTATCTTTCATATTAAAGAATAAAAGGATTGTTCTCAAATATATTAAAAAAATTTTAATTCCTTCAAATATTTTTAAAAATAGCTTTTTTTTTTTTTTTTTTTTTTTTTTTTTTTGTTAATAACTTTTAAAAGCTTTAAAAATATATATTTTTTTAAAAAATATCTCCAATAACTAAAAAGTATTTAAACTAATAGTATAAATCAAGTATAATATAAAAAATAATTTTAATAATTTTCTTAAAATTTTTAATTACAATTCATATTTTTTTTTTTTAACAAAAATTATGCTTAAACCTTTGTAAAATTAATAAAATAAACGATTTTTAAACTATATAAAGAAGAAATGTTTTTAGTAAAAATTTTTTTATAAAAAAGTATATAAGAATGAAGTTATGTGAAAAAATATGTGTATATGAAAAATTAAAAGAACAATATTATCTTATCATAAATTTTATATGAAGAAATATATTATATCTTAAGCACTTTAGTACTATTGGAATAATTGTAAAATTAATATTATATTATTCTAAAATAAGATGAAAGGAGAAAATTTTATGAAATGTAACAATTTATTTAACATTTTTATCTTTTCAAAAAGAAATAAAATTCATTGTCATGCAAATATAGATTTTCTTAAAAATGCATCACTTTTATGTTTAATTTCTTATTTTTAATTAAAATAATTTCAAAATAAATTTAAAATTACTTTAAAAATATTTAAATTTTTAAAGAAATATTTTAAATTTTTAAAAATTAATTTTATATTTATATGATAGAAATAACCCTGTTAAAAAAAATTTATATATAAGAAAAAAAAAAAAAAAAATGAGAATAACTGTAGATATGATAAATGAAGCAGATCAATCTATAAATCCTGTTAATGAAAATACTATTTCTTTAAGAGGTTAAATATAATATAAATACATAATAAGTAAAATTAAACTTTATTTTTAAATAAAATTTTATTCTTTATAACTTAAAACAATATAAATGATTAAGCTATAAATATGTAAATTTGCATATTATATAATATTAGAATTGGATTATTTTTTTTAATAATTTATAAAATATACATATAATAATGTTGGAATTTAATTATAAGCAAACAAATGAAAATAAATTTTTGTACATTAATTTTAAAAAATTTTAAAAGAAGATTTCATTATTTTTCTTTTTATTTTTTTTTTTTTTTTCAAGGAAATAAAATAAGTGTAATTGAAAATTTAGGAATTACTAAAGACTATTTTGAATGTATTGACTTGAGTGATAATGAAATTATAAAATTAAATAATATACCATATTTACAAAGATTAAAAACATTAATATTATGCAATAATAAAATAGCTAGAATTGACAGTGATATATTTGAAAATATACCTAATTTAAATTCATTAATTTTAACTAATAATAAGGTGAATATGCAAATATATTTTTAACCTTAAAAAATTAACATAAATTTATTATGAATGAAAAAATAAAGATAGTAATGTTTTTTTATATATCTTTTTTTTAATTTATATATTTATAAAAAAGAAAATTTAATTTTTTACAGTTAGAAAAATTATCTGATCTCAACTCACTTTTTAAAGCCAAAAATTTAACTAGACTTAGCCTAGTAGAAAATTCTGTTTCAAAGTAAGAATATAAATAGATATATTTTTATTTTTATCTATATTGTTTTATTTATTTTATTATTTATTTATTAATTTTTTTTTTTTTTTATAGATTAGAAAACTATCGTGAATATTTAATTTTTAATTTGCCTTCATTAAAATATTTAGATTTTCAAAAAATAAAAAAGAAAGATAGAGAAGAAGCTTCAATAGCAATGAAGAATTTTAATTCGAATAATAAAGGTTTATTACATGAAAATTGAATTATATAATAATTTTAATAGTATAAATAATGCAGTGAACTTTTTATTATTCAATTTTTTTGACTTATTACTTTAATCCTTGATTCTAATTATTTTTAATTTCTATATTTCATTTTAACTTTTTAGTAAATTCCTCAAACGTTTTATTTATTTTATATATTATTTAATTTTTTTCTTTTTTTTTTTTTTTATTATACAGAAAATAGCGAAGTAAACTAATATTTTATTATTTATTTATTCCCATTTTATTTTATTTTTTTTTTTACATTAACATAAGTATATTATTCCCAAGCATAAGAGGCTCAAAATAAGAATGTTAATTTTTTTTTAAACATTTAAATCTAAAACTTATTTTAAATCATAAATTATATGTGTAACTTTGTTTATGTCTCTATGTTTCAATAAATATATCATTTTTTTTTTTTTTTTAAATTAAATAAATATAATATAAAAATAATACAAGAATTTTATATATATATTTCTTTTTTTTTTTTCAAACAAAATCAAAATTTTTTCTTGCTATTACTTTGAAATTATGAAGATATGATGTATTTTACGCACAATTTTTTAGTAGAAATTAAGAATTCATTTTATTTTTATTTGTTTTTTTCATCCATTAAATTTTAAAATATAAAATTATTTTACAATAGTTTTAATTTAAATTAAAAAAAATATAATTATAAAAACTTTTTGTTGTAGAATTCTCTTCTATTACAAAACAATTTTCTTAAAAAAATAATTTGAGTAATTAAAAATACTCACGATTATATTTACGTTTTAAGAAAAATTTTACAAAATTCTTAATTCTATGCACATGTAAAATACTATGGGAATTATAACAATTTGAAAAAGTTTTACAAGAGAATAGAATCAAAAAAGAAAAAAATTAAATCAAATAAAATATAATAACATATTTAAATTATAAAAAAATGCAATATAAATAATTAATAAAAGGAAAAAATGACCAAAACATGAAAATAATTTTAATATTTGTTTATTGTTTTATACTTAATATTATTTGTTTATGCTTTAAAATAGATAAAATATATGAATCCAATAAAAAAAAATTATACTTTTTTACAAAAAAAAATATAATTAAAAGACCTAAAACAGGATCAAGTATATATAATTGTATAAATAGTAAACTTAATGATGATGATGAAATAGAAATTAGAGAAAAAATAAAAAAAGAAAATGAAAGAAGAGAAAAAATTAAAGCAGAAAATAATTCATATGTTAATTCTAATTTTAAATATGTAAGTAATAATATTCCAATTAATGTGGAAAAAAAATACAGTTATGAAAGTTTTAAATACAGTGAAGAGATAGCTATGTATGTATTTTTTGTAATTAATCTATTTAAGCATGAGCAGTTTAAAAATAAAATTTATAAAGAATCTCTTGAAATTGAATCATCACAAAATATAAATAGAATACAATCAGATGATCTTTTTGATAAAAGTAATAACACTGTTGAAAGGAACAAAAAGTTAGTAAAAAATTTTTTAAACAAGTTTGGCGATAGTTTCAAGTTTTTTAATTCTCACGAAAAAGTTCAAAGAGAAGATTGGGCTAATATGTTCAAGCTTGAACAAAACGATAAAAATAATTTTTTTAAAAATGTAAAAGTAAAAAGTGAGAAAACCAAAGAATATTACTTTGTTATATATTACTGTAACTGGAAATATGAATGTATGGCTCTTTATAATGCTTTTCATAATATTATGAACAATGCATATAATAATGTTAATTTTTATAATATATTTGACAAAAGAGATAAATGCGAAAATATAAAAGAAGATAATGAAAAAAAAAATGAATTAAGCAAATCTGATATTGAAAAAATAAGGGAAATGTATATTGAAGATTTACAAAATAATGAAACAATGGATATAGAAAGTTTAATTAAAAAAGACAAAAAATTAAATGAGTGTAATAATGATCAGGATCAAACAATGAAAAATTCAACTGAAAATGAACAAACAAATGAAAGCAAAGAAAAAGGGAATACAAATAATAAAATTAATGAAACTAATTTATTCCATAATGAAAATGCAAAGAAAAATAATAAAACATTTCAAGATATAATGGAAGAAGAAAAAAAAAAATTAGATGAAGAATTTTTTTTATATGGTTATTCAAAATATGAAAACATTGAAGAAATAAAAAAGGAGGAAGAAATGATAAAGCAGACAAAAAAATTAATAGAAGAAGAAAAATTAAGCCATACAAAATTGAATAGTGAAAAAGACTTTAAAAATATTCTGAAAAATTTCTATATTCAAATAAAAAACTATAAAGATTTTTATAATTATCATCATAAAGAAAAAAATATATTAAAAAATGATATTAATTCTTACAAAAATACAGAAAAAATATCAAGAGAATTTTTTATAAATAATGATAATTCAAATATCACCCAAGTTAGTGAAGAAAAAAACAAAAAGGATGAGAAGCAAGAAGTAAATATAAATGTTATCTTCGTTAGATTAAGTAATAGTACAGTAATAGGAAAAACAAAAAATATTAAAAAAAAAATAAAAAAAAAGTGGATTTATTCTCAAGAAAAAGAGATAAAATTTTATGAATTAATTTTATCTGTCATGCTTAATGAAAACATTTATTATAAAAACATACCTCATATGGATATATTTTCATTAAGCTATGATAAAAAAAATTTATACGATTTTTTTAATTTAATTAATAGTAATATAAAGCATAGTTTTATTCACAGAAACAATGTTTATGACATATTTAATAATGTTATTAATGATCAAATGGATATCTATAATTTTAATATATATGATGAGAGCTTATATAAAGAGCACGAATTTATACAAAATGAAAATTCAAAAGATAAATTAATAGATAATGAAGTGAAGCATAAGGAATATATAGAAAACGATGATATAGTTTTAGAAGAGTTAGATTCAAATTACGAAATAGATGATTTAAAAAATTATAAAGTAATATATGATCAAAATGAAAATAACATTGATGAAAGCAACAAGGAGCTAGAAAAGGAAGTCGATCAAATGCGAAATGAAGAAGGACTAAAACTTTCAAACAACAGAATGAAAGAAAAAAAGACTGATAATATTCAGTATAAAATTATGAAAAAAAAGCATAATAAAAAAGAAAAAAGCAAATATGAAGTTTTATTTAAACAAAAATATACAAATATATTTGTAAATAATATTCGAAGTAAATTATTAATTGAAAAAGTTAGTTCTATATCAAATGTTGATATACATGCTAATTATACAGTAGATACTTTTAAAGACTTGCCATTAAGTGATATTTTAAAGAATACATATGTGCATCAAAACTTTAAAATTGATAAAAATTATGTTTATTATTTGAATCAAAGAATTCCAAAGGAACTTTTTCCATTTATTCTTCAATTGTCTTTAGCCTTTAAATATGAACATACTACTATTATGCTAAATGCTCCTAAAAAAATAGAATTTGAATTTAGAAACGTGTAGATAAACATATTATGTCTTTGTATGTTAAAAATAAAATTAAAAAAAATATATATATAAAAGAGAAAAAAATATATATTTTTATATATTGTAATGTTTAAGAACCTACTAAGAAACTTTAATTCATTTGTAATAATGAAAAAAATTACATGTACAACTTTAAAAATTTTATTTTTCAAGTATTCTTATAACTTCTGAAAAATTACCAAAACAAACATGAAAAACTCAGATGTATACTGCAATAGCCATTTAAAAATATTATAAATTGTAAAAATATTTATAGAATAAAACCAATTTAATAATAATAAATATGTTCTATAAAATTTAATATTTTTATGTTTTCATTATCTTGGAGTTAAGTTATAAAAAATAAAATTTTACAATAAAATAAAAAATTATGAAACACTTTAAACTTTCGCTTAATTTAAAGTAATACAACAATATGTCATTCGAATAACTGAACAAGTATATTTTTCCTCTTTTTTTTTTAATTTTATTTTATTCATATTCAATTTTATTATTTTATTTTATTTTATTTTTTTATTTTTTTTTTTTTTTTTTTTGATATTTTTAAAATTTCGCTAATTTTTCACAATAAATTTTCCTTAATATTAGAAAAATAATAAAAAAGCTTTTTTTTTATTTATTAATTAGAAGAATGTCAATGAAATTTTAAACTTAAATATTATTAAATTTTTTTTTTAAAAAATTTATAATTATTTGCAGAAACATTTATATAATTTATTTTTCTCTGAAGAAAAAAAAAAAATAAAAAATAATTCATAAAACCAACAGAAAAGTATTTAAAATTATCTTTGCTTTAAATGAAAAAATGTCAAACAATATGTTTCTTTTTTTGTATATTTTGATATGTTTATAATATTTTTTTTTTTATGTAATATACCTCTATTTCTACAAATAAATTATATTTTGTTTATAAAGGAATAAAAAAAATATATAAAAAAAAAATTTGATAATTTATTTTCATTTTATAAATTATCTAATAATTATGATCATTTAGAATTTATAATCATTTTTCTCTTTTCTTCTTTTTAAACTTGCATATTTAAATATAGTTGCTAATTCTAATAATTCTGATTCAAAGTTGTTTTCATGGCATAATTGTAAAAATTGATCTACATCTACATATTCAAGATAAGTTCTTAGAAATACTAATGATTCTTTTAATAACTCTTTACTCATATATGAATTATTTTCATTTTTTAATTTCATCATTTTATGGCATAACATAATAATTGTTTCATTTGTTAAGTGAAAAATTTTTTGAACTAATTGATTTTTATTATCTTCTAATTGTTTTATTAATGCTTCATTTTCATTTTTAGTTTGTTTCCTTTTCAATTTATTTTTTTCCATATCATTAGATTCTTTTTTTGTAATCAAATTATCTATACTCTCATAAATTAAGCGTAAAACATAATATTCATCTGGAAAAAAAAAAAAAAAAAAAAATAAAATAAAAAATTATATAAATAAATAAAATATAAATCTATAATACAACGAAAAAATAAAATAAATAAATAAAAGAAAAGAATAGTAAATGTAAGCTAATATTTTTACCTAAGTTAGAATCGTCTAATTTATTAAAAATAAAATGAATAACAGATAACTCATTAACTATTTGGTTTTCAACCAAAATATTAACAATCACATTTAAAAGAACAGAATTGTTAAAATATGTATAAACAATATTTATTATTTCTATATCAAATTGTTTTTTATCATCTTCCGATTGAAAACAATCTGAATTTTTATAATTTAAAAATATGACTGAGTGATTATTAAAAACTTTTTTTAAAGATGAAACATTTGATAAATCAAAAAATATTAGTGACTTAAAAAAAAGGATTAAAATATCATATCTATTCCAGAGAATAGAATTTCCATAGAAATCCTTTTCAAAAATATGACTGTCAAATATATTTACATCTAGGTTATCCTTTGATATTCCATATAATTTATCAATATTTTTTTTTATATTTTCAAAAAAGGGAGGAATTTTGTTTAAGTGAGGTTTTTCACTTAAATAATTCATAAAACATTGAATGAATGCATTAATTTGATTTTTGAATGTACTTATGGAGCTTTCTGTGTTATCTTCTTTTTGTATATCATAATTTTGATCTTCGATGTTATTAATTTCATCAAAACAAAATTTTAATATTTCATTAAAAATAGAAAATTCATAAAAATCTTCATGTTTTTTATCATTAGAACATTTAAATTTATTACAGTAATTTATAACAACTTTTGGAAGTAAATTTTCAACTTCATTTTTATAAACTAATGAACAAGATTTAAAATATAAATTTCTAGTCCACTTTTTATGATATTTCTTTTTCACATTATATATTAAATTTGTAAATTTTTTTAAATTATCTCCTATTTCTAATTTTTCTAATTCTTCCTTGAAAATAGAAAAATCAAAATCAATTTCTATTTCATTATTGTCGTTTTCATCATTATCACTTTCATCATAATCATATTCCTCTTTTTCTTTATCATTTTCATCACAATTATTATCTTCATCCGAACTATACTTCACATCAGCTTCAATACAAAAGGGAATTTTGCAATCACTATTTTTTAATTCATTCAATGTCCTTTCATTTTTTGTTAGTACAACTTGATTTCTTTTTATATTACTAGAATTTATTGAAGATTTTTCTTCAATTTTTTCCTCTTCATCTATTTGTTCTTTAACTTCTATATCAACTAATTCTTCTGTTTTTCTTTTTTTTCCTCCACTTAATTCTTCCTTTTCTTTTGCTAATTCATTATCCAATTTGTGCATTTTTTCTTCTTGAACCTTCAAAATTTTATTCATATCATTAAATTTTCTTTTAAAAAAATTTTCTTTATTTTTCAATAATTTATTTTCATATACAAAGAAGGATAACATATAAATACATAATTCCATAAATAAATAAAAAGATTCATTATCTAATTTCCCTATTTGTTTTAAAATATATTTAATACATCTAATAATTACACTTCCTAAATTTTTATTTATTAATAATAATCTATGAATTAACGATATGTAAAAATAATAATCTTTTTCATTAAAAGAAGATAATAATTTATTTATAATACATTCTATTAACACATTATTATATAATTTACTTTGTAATTGAATATATATACCAAGTATTTTTGAGCTGAAATCAACACTGTTTTTATATAGATCAATAATATGCATAATATGCTCTTGCATCAACCATATATCATGTACATTTTTATTATCATCATCTTTTTTTCTAAAAATTATTTGTAAACTGCTTATATATTCTTCACATTCAAAATTAACAAAATATTCTATGTTAACACATTTTTCAATTATTTTTTGTAAACTCATTTCTTTGTTTTTTGAACTATGTAATGACAAATTATCATTATTGTTATTACTGAAATTATTATTATTGCTAATATCATCGTTACTATTATTATCTTTTTCATTACGATCACTTTGATTGTTAATATTGATCATATTATCACTTAATATATTATCTTCATATATAAATTTATCTTTGTTATTTTCATTATATAAAAATACTTCTTGAAATATTTGTTTTTGATAAAATCTATGAGTTGCTACACTTTTCAAATTATTTTGTATATAATTATTTAATGCATCTTTTAAATAAAATAATCTATCATAAAAATTATCACTATGAATAATACTATTAATGTAAATGTATATGTATTCGATTGTAGCTATATCATTATTATCTATATCTATATTATCTATACAATGTTGTCTCTCTTCTATTAAATTAAAACAGTTATTCAATAAGTCATCTAATTCATCTTTATGTTTGTCATATATCTGTTTAGATATATAAAAAAAATTACTTAAAAATAAATACAAAATGTTATCTCCTTTTATAAATTTTTTTTCTTTATATAATTCACTACACAATTCATATATTTTTTTAAATAAATTTAAACAGTAACTAAAATCAAAAAAATAACAACAACTTAATCCTATTATGCATCTAAACCATAGCAAACAATGAAGTAAATTTTTTTTTATAAAAACTTCAATATTATGATTTAATTTTAATAAAATTTGCAATTTCAATTTTTCATCATTTTTAGTTATTATACCCAAAATTGTTGCATAAATTCCTATTTTCATTGGCATATAAAAAATACATTCTAAAATAGTATCAACACACTGATTTATTTTACTTTTTGATATTCTTTCACATAATTGAAAAATATCATCACTATCAATTAACTTATCACCTATTTTAATTATTTCATTTTTTAAAATATGTAACTCTATTTCTTCCATCGGTATTAAAAAAATAAACCTTTTAATTTATAATATACTTAAGTAAAAACTACTATTAATTAAAAAAATATATTAAAAAAAATGTATTTTTATTAATAAGATAAAAAAAGAATATAATTCCTAATTAAAATTATAAATATGATTTTTTAAAATATATAAAAAAAATTAAAAATATAACATATTAAAATATAAAAAACAAATTAAGATGAAATTTATATAAAAAATATATTAAAAATATTAAAAAAAACCTTCATATAATTTATTTTAAAAAAATTATTCCATGTATAACAATATAAATAAAAATTGTTCAAAAAAAAGTATAAGAAAAAATTATTATAAGAAAAAAATTTATAAAATAAAATAAATAAATATTAAACAAGGGGAAGTTGAAAAAGATAAAAAATTTTGTTAAAGTTAAAATAAAATATTTCATATATTTAAAAAAAAAATAAAATCATATAATTAACAAAAAAAAATGTCATAGGAAAAAAAAATATAACATTAAAAAAAATATTATAGAATAAATAACTAAATAAAATAAATAGGTAATATGATAAGTAAAAAAAAAAAAAAAAAAAAAAAAAAAAAAAATATT